TCCGCCGCGCCTCGTGCGCGCGCCCGCCCACGTGTCCCCGCACCTTGGAGACCGGGTCGAGCAGCGTGACGTGGCCGGGGGACACGCGCAGCAGCATCTCCTGCGCCCAGACGCGGCCCTGGCGGTCCATGACGGCCAGCTTGCGCGAGGCGTCCTCCAACGTGTGCACGCCGTCCTCCTCGCCCAGGCAGAAGGTCACCAGGTGCTGCCGGGACAGGCGGTGCGTCGGCCAGCTGCGCCCCGGGCCACAGCCTCGCAGCACCACTGCTGCCCCCCGGGGAGCCCTCCCTGCTCGCTTGCTGAGACTGGGGGCGCCCGACTTTCTCAGCCAGGTTGGCGCCTGGGCTGTCTCCCGCCAGACTGGGGGCGCCCTGCAGGCAGGGAGGGCCTGATGCTAGGGGCCTCTGCGTTATCTGGGCGCCGCGCCCGCACCGCAGTGGCCCTCTGGACCTGTCCAGATAACTGCCCCGGCTTTTCCCGCAGCCGGCTGTCAGCACCGGAGCGGGTCTGCAGGGAAGGGAAAGGGTCAGCACCCCCATGTCCCGGCAGATGGGGGAGTCCATGTGCCGATGGGCAAACTGGGCTTCCCGAGTCCTGCTGGCCACAGCCCGCCCGGCCCTCCTCTCCCAGCGCGACCGGCCGCTCACGTTGACTGGGTACTGGGACACGTCGGCCATGACCACGGTGGAGTAGCGTTTTCTCTGCTCTGTGGGGGCAAGGGCGGCTCCAGTCTCCGGCCCCGCCCCGCAGACCAGCGTCCAGCCCTTCCGTCCCTCGGGCCTGGGGTCTCCTCTGTCCCCAAACTCACCGTAGATTGACTTGGCACTTGGCTTGGGGGCAGCTTCTGGGCTATTGAAGGGGCAGAGGGGCGAGTGCTATGAGAGTGAGGTCAGCCCAGGCTCGGCAGAGCAGGGGCTTTGCGGAGGCCGCAGGAGGCCGAGGGCGTGAGACGGGGCCCTGCCCCCAGGCGGACGGAGCCCTCTCAGCACTGCCCGCCCTGGGACCCTCAGGGAGACCTGTCCTCCGCCCGGTTTCACCCCACAGGTGGGGGCGAGTTACCCGCCGGTGCCCGCTCGCGGGCTGCTGGACAGACGCAGTGGGCGAGGCCGGGCGCCGCAGACAGCCCCCCTGGCTCTCCCGCCCTCGCCTCCTCCCTGGGATTCCGCGTCCCCAGAGCCAGGGAAACGACCGCTGGGCTCCGGCGGGCCAGGCGCGAGGAGGACTCGGAGGACTCGCTCAGCCGCTCGCCTCCCTCCTGCCACCAGGTTTCTCTGCCCCAGGGCTGCCCGGCCTCCCTGCCGCGCTCCCACTGCCCGGCCTTCTCTCCTGGCGGGCTGACCGGGCTGACCGCAGCCAGCCAGCAGCCAGCAGCCCCGGGCCCTTCCAGGCCGGATTCTGAATCCCGAGCTTGCAGCACCCAGCCCTCCTCAAGCCGCCACGTCTGGCAGGGCCCCAACCTCCAGGGCGGGTCACCCCAGCCAGGGGTGGCCCGAGGGGTGGCGCTGGGTGCTGACCTCAGGCTCGGGAAGAGGCAGCCCAGGCCTGGGGGGGCGCACCCGCCAGAGGGAGGCGCGGGACAGGGGCACTCACCCAGTGGTGGCGCTCATGGTGCCAGCTGGGGCTCCCGCTGCCTGCAGACGCCTGGAGCGGAGAGCTTGACTGAGCCGCTGGCCGGGCTCAGGGGTCTGCCTGCCCCGGGCCCAGCTCTCCAGGCCCGGCCCGGCCCTCTCCCACCCCAGAGCAGACCTTGCCCCCTCCTGGACCCTGGCCTCCCACACCCCTCAGGGAACATTCAGCATTTACGTGCCCCCCTTCCTCTCCCCAGGAATCCAGTCCCCAGTCTCCTCTGGGGCGCAGGAGCGAGCCCAGAGCTCTGCCCAAGAACTGCCGTCTGGCCGTCCCCTCGCAGCAGAGACCCTTCCCCTCCAGCCCTCACCCGCGCGGGCCCTAGGCACGCTCTCCGCTCTCCGGTGTGGACTCAGGAGTCAGCCCCTGCCCTGCTCCCCCTGACCAGAGCCCCGGGCCCCAGGCGCCTCACCTGCCGGCTCCAGGCTGCTCTGGTGAGAGGCCCGGCGCCTGCTCGGCCCTTCCAGCCTGGCCGCCCCTCCCTCCCTCCCAGGGCTGGCCCGCCTCCTCCTCCTCGCGCCTCCGCATACCTGAGCACTCACCTGGCACAGCCTGGCCTGGGTGGAGCAGCGGGCAGGCGGGCGGGGCTGCAGCCACGGGGGGGCGGTGGGGGGGCAGAACCATCGCAGTCACAACAGCAACAGGGAGTGACAACAGCAGCAGTTAGATGTCACGGCGTTCCAGTCAAAGCTTGAAAGCGGCGAGCGGCATCGCCCAGGCTGGAGGTCTGCCTCCCCGCTCACGCCAAGGGGACGGAAGGCGACAGGGGCCCTTGTGGGAGCTGTGCCCGCTCCCGGGGTGCTGTCCACACAACGGCCTCCAGCCAGGCCTCTCCACCCGCTTCTCTGGGACCCCCTGATGCTGGCTGGGACCCTCAGGGCTCCAAGGACACCCCGAATTGGCAGACTCCTCAGACGTGAAATCTCCTGAGAACGTCCCTTTCCTCGGCCTCCGCTGAGCAGGTGGTGCCTGTCAGTGCCCCCCCAGCCAGGCGAGCGGTGGGTGTCCGCGTCTCAGGCGGGGAGGCTGAACCCCTAGACTTCAGGAAGCCCCCGACTGGGCACGCCGTGAGGGTGAGCATCAGCTTCCAGAGCTCGGTCCTCGGAGCTGGGGACAGAGGGCGCCTCTCTGGTGCTCAGTGAGCCCCTGCCCCATGCCACCCCTCCCCTGGCCACCACCTGCTCTCCCGCTCCCGCCCACAGCCTTGGCCCAGCGCAGGGACAGAAACCTAGGTCAGCTGGTGTCACTCCAGCCCTCCAGAACCTTCCGTGGCGCCGACTTCCCTGGGCAGATGCCAGGGCCGAGGGCTTCCTGGGACTGCACCTGCGTCCTGCCCCCTTACGCTCTGGCCCTGCACACTGGCCCCGGGGCTTTGCAGAGCTGCGCTCACAGGCCGACCCCCGCACATGGCGCTTCTCCCTGTCTGTCCATCGGCACGTCTCATCTGCCCGTCGCGGCCCGGCTCCGCCCCGCACGCAGGGTCTGTGGTCCGGGAGCCTCTGGCACTGGCCACTCGTGCTTGAGTGCAGCGCGTGGTGGCTGCGCCCAGGCGGAGCAGCGTGCGGGCCGGGCCGGGCCGGGCCGGGTGTGCGGGCCGCTGCGGGCCCAGGGGCCTGGCGTTGCCTCTCCGCGGCTCCCCCCTGGACACAAGCCTGGCGGTGTGTTACACGGGGCAGCCCCACGGCAGCCTCCAACACGGCCCCTCTTCCTCCTGCCCCACTTGACAGCCGAGGACGCGGAGGTGCTGACAGCGGCCGCAGCTGACCGCCTGCGGCCGCGCAGACATGCAGAAAGGGGGGTCCGGCCCTCCGCTTGCCGTGTGCCCCGTCCAGCGGCTTAGCCCCTCTGCCCCGTGGGGCCGCGGCGTGGGAGGCGCAGGGCGGGGAGAGGGCCGGGTGTCGGCATCCGCACAGAGGCCAGTGAGGTCTGTCCTCACGTGAGGCTGCTCCGAGGTCAGGGCAGGCTTCCTGGAGGAGGAGGGGAGGCCAGGCGGAACCTGACGGACGAGTTTGGCCGCCCAAGGTGGCCCAGAGGACGAGGGAGGAGTCCTTCCAGGCCACAGAGCCACCGCCGGCACAGGCCAGCGGGTGTCCGGCTGGCTGCGGCCCTGGGGTGCAGCGGGAGAGGGCCCCAGTGTCCCCGCCGACCTGCCCACGTGTTTCCCAGCGGGCTGGGCCCGAGGGATGGGCAGACCTCTCAGCCCCTGAGAGGCGAGCGAGGCGGAGGGGCGAAGCCAAGCCGCGCGGACTATGGCAGGCCGGCCGCCTCTGTGCAGGCCGCAGCAGGAAAGACGGCAACACCTGAGGGTGGGCTCCCGTCCCCTTGCACCAAGTCACTGTGTCACTCTGATGTCCACCTGCGAGGCCTGCCCGAGCCAGGAGACTTCGCTGCCGGCGATGCTGGCCGGCGAGCAGAGGAGGCGCTTGTGAAAACATGCGTCCATGGGAAGGGCAGCAAAGCCCGGGGCAGGGGGTTGACGGCCGCCTGAGTGTGCAGGGGGCCCGGACAGACAGCGAGGGTCAGGAGGCTCCAGGCCTGGGGGGGGGCCTGGACCCCATCTGGGGAGGGG